TGAGCCCCCCTTGTCCTTCAATCCTAGTGACGTCCCTGCCGTTCCCCTTTCTCTTAGTTCCTAGTATTGCCTAGTGTGTTTACTATACTTCCCGGACAAATGCATTGCTCTGTGGGCTGAGCATGTGGTTGTAACCCCTTTGGTCATGTATTCAAGACCAGCTTTATCTGTGTATTTGTAATTATTGGGTTGTGTTCCCCAGTATTTATTTTCTATTTTAGTTTTCTTGTTCCTAGTCTTTGGTTTGCGTTCTGTTTTGGGTTTTGCTAGGTGCTGGTGTTTGTGATTATATATTACTTGTCTTTGTTATAATCTTAGTGTTTGATTCTCTTTCTTAGTTTCCCTGTTGGTCTCATGGTTCCTTGATTAAGTTTATTTGACCCACCTGTTTCCCGGTTCCTCATGATTATTCTACCTGATTGCTCGCTGTCCTGCACCCTCTCTGATTGCTTAATTGTTTCATGTCTCACGCCTGCTGGTCATTGTGTGTGTGATTGTGTGTGAGTGAGTGAGTGAGTGAGAGAGAGAGTGCGTGTGTGTGTGCGTGTGCGTGTGCGTGTGCGTGTGCGAGCGGGTTTACCTATCCTTATGGCCCCATAACGTGATGAATATCTGTTTTTTTCCCTTATGGGGAACGGTTTCCTGGTCCCCATAAGGGAAAACTCTATTTCATAAAAATCGGTGACTGCTATGAAAATATTTTAAATGCAAAAACTCTTGTATTTTGTTAGGTTAATTACTGTATGGTTATGGTTAGGGCAGGGTAGGGGTGTGTGTGTGTGTGTGTGGGGGGGAGAGTAAGTTAGTGTATGAGTTTGCTGCTGCTGCATTTGGCTGTTTCAGGTTACCGTTCAGTTCCTGGTCTTGCTCTGTTCCCGTACCTTTTCTTTACACTTCTTATTATTAGCCTCTGTTAGTTCAACATCATGCTCAACCCTTATTTAGTTCTTTAACTCTGCGTCTCCCTGTCCGTTTATGACCCCCTCGTGGTCCTTTGGTTTTGTATTAGTTTTAAATCCCGTGTTTCTTGGAGCCATAAGTGGATTGTCACCTTCCTTCCGTACGCGACATGATTGACATGTAACATATTACACAGGCTGGACAAGTACAAACTATTTACATATATTCAAGGAAACTAAAAACTAAAGGATAAAAATAAGAATATGAATGGAGGACATAAACATAAGAATATTATATACAAATCATGTATGTGAGTGTGCACTTGTGAGGAACACAGATGGAATGTTATTTACAGTATGTTACAGGGTTACAAGTACTTTGTGCAAATGAGCAACAGTGCATGATGTGAAAGAGTTCAATGTGGTTGTTTAAAGTGCAGAGTGTCCACCACTGTTAATGAGCTCTGGGGAGAAGCTGCCCTCATGCCTTGTTGGGGGGGGGGGAGCTTGAGTGAGTAGAGTGAGGCAGTGAGTAGCTCAGTGGGTTAAGTCTCTGTACCTGTGATCAGAAGTTTGCTGGTTTGAGCCCCAGCCTTGGCAGAACAGTCACATGGCCATGGGCCTCTTCAGTGAAGTTCTTACCCCCCCCCCCCTCCGCTCCAGGGGTGCTGCATGATAGCTAACCCCGTGCTGTGACCCCAATCTATGGACAGCAAGATTGGATCAGCAAAGAAAAACATTCTCATTTACTGGTGCGAATGGCAAATGAAGCATGCTTGTTTCTTGAGTCTTCTACCAGATGGACAAGGTCGTGTCCAGGGTGAGAGGGGTCAGCTATGATCTTCCCCGAGGGATTTGTGACCCTGCTGTTTTAAGTATGCAGAAGCGTTGGCAGAATACAGCTGATAATTCGCTCCACTGTCCTGACTACATGATGGAGTTTGGCTCCCTCTTGTGAGGGGGAGGAAGGCTGAGGGGACAAACAGAGGAGCAGGACAGGCAGGGTGGGTCAGGGCTAGACGAAAGACAGACGAACCGTTCAATATGTCGCATGGATCAACAATACCGTGCACCAGAGGTAAGTCTGCTGAGCTCTTTTAAGCTGCCAGCCACAGGTTGAAATAAAGAAGAAATAAAGACCTAATTTATGTTAAATTAATGGCCTTGGGATAACAAATTTACCTGTCTTGTCTTTGACTCACCAGCATAATGCATGTTGGTTACACTAACATATGTTGTGTTTTGGTGCTGGTGGACCAGTATCATTCATGAAATATTGCTGGTGGACCAGCTCCATGTGCATGTTGACCAGAACAGCTATGCTGGTCCACCAGCTATACCAGCACCAAACCAGCATAGACTAGCATGGAAATCATGCAGGTCAATGTTATTTTTTTCAGCGGGGATATGGTTTATGCACTGACAGAAAAATAATGATATTTTGTGGGGATGGAGCAGCTCTGCAGGTTGAGAATCAGAATGTTGCTGGTTCAAATTCTCTGATCAGCGGAGGGATCCTACCATTTGGCCTTTGTGCAAGGCCCTTAACCCCAGTGTGTGTCTGCGTGTATGTGTGAAGAAATATAAATAAAAGGCCGTGTTGAATTTTGATCACAATTGCAATGTGTTATCTAGACTGACATCCCCTGCATTTCCCATAAATATCACAAAAAGGAAACAAAAATTCAGTAGAAAAAGCATGATTTTACAGGTTTCCTAAAACAGAGTATTGTCATGATATCAGTACAGATTTAGAGAAAATACCACCAATGAAACAGTAGACGCCCCCCTTCTTATGAATGAGTTACGTTCCAAATGGCCGTTTGTAACTTGTATGTTGTTCGTAAATGCTCGTAAGTCGTTATTCAACATCATTCTAAGGGTATACGCAAGTACAAAGAACTAGGATGCTGGGAGTACGCACGCTACGCTGCTGTGCGGCGGGAGTAGCGGCCAGAAGTCGTACTAGGCAGAATTGGCAAAAAATTTGATGTTGCGGACAGGAAACGGGAGCCCAAGGAACACAATTTGGACTTACAGTCTTCTTCGTTCATATGTCTGAAAGTTCGTAAGTTGAAATTTCGTAAGTAGAGGAGTTTCTGTACAATAGTTTAAAAGAAAGGCAATGTGTATGTGATGGTAGCCAGTCAAGTGTCTTTTACACAGGTTAAAAAAAAACAAATAAATGAATACTTAATCACTGTATTGACACGGGGTTTATCAAAATAATTCATGTCTTGTTTACATAGAAGCATGATGTGTATTACAAAGGCATACAGAATATTCATTAGAAAATTATCCCACTTACTCCTTGGTACTCATAATATAGACTATATGGACAAAAGTATTGGGACAGCTGGCCATTACACCTACAGGAACTTTTATCACATCCCATTCTAAATCCATAGGCATCAATATGGAGCTGCTCCCTCTTTGTAGCTATAACAGCTGCTACTCTTCTAGGACAGCTTTCTAGGACAATTTTGAGTGTGTCTGTGGGATTTTTTGCCCATTCATCCAAAAGAGCATTTGAGATCAGGCACTGATAATGGACATGAAGGCCTGACTTGCAAAATCCATTCTAGTTCAATCAAAAGGTGTTTGATGGGGTTGAGGTCAGGGCTCTGTGGGGGCCAGTCAAGTTCTTCCACACCAAACTCACCCAACCATGTTCTTATGGACTTTTTTATGCAATCAGACGCAGTCATGCTGGAAAAGAAAAGGATTTTCCCAAAACTATTCCCACAAAGTTTGTTCAAAATGTCTTGGTATGCTGAAGCATAAGGAGTTGCCATAACTGGTACTAACCCAACCCCTGAAAAATAACCCCAAACCATTATTCCTCCTCCACCAAGCATTACAGTTGGCAGAGTGCAGTCAGGCAGGTAATGTTCTCCTGACATCCACCAAATCCAGACTGATCTATCAGACTCCAGACAGAGAAGCGTGATTCGTCACTCCACAGAACACGTTTCCACTGCTCCATAGCCCAGTGGTTATAGTCCATGCTTTACACCACTCTATCTGACACCTGGCATTGTGCTTGGTGATGTTGAGGCTTGCATGCAGCTGCTCAGCCATGGAATCCCATTCCATGAAGTTCCCGACACAGTTTGGAACTCTGCAGCTATTGAGTCAACAGAGCATTGGTCAAACATACACGTCATGTGCCTCAGCACTCGGTGACCCGCTCTGCTACTTTACGTGGCCTGGCACTTTGTGCCTGAGTCTCTGTTGTTCCAAAATGCTTCCACTTTGCAATAATACCACTTGCAGTTGACTCTGGAATATCCAGCAGGGAAAAAATTTCATGAACTGACTTCCCAAGGTGGCATCCAATGACAGTAACACGCTTGAATTCTTCAGAACGACTCATTCATTCATAAATGTTTATAAACCGGACTGCATGGCTGGGGGCTTGATTTTATATACCTGTGGCAATGGGTCTAAATGAAACACCTGAATTCAATGATTAAGAGGTGTATCAGTACTTTTGTCCATATAGTGTACATTTTACAACAAGGTAGCAAACTGAATGTAAAAATAACAACAAAAATAATAATAAAAAAACTTATTGCTGCTAATGTTGCCGTTTGAATGATACTGTGAACATAACTGATCGTTATCTTTGAAAGATCTTGAAGACATTGCATGTATAACGTCATTTTGACTGACTAGAATTGGAAAGTTGAACTGGAAATCATACGTCGTTCTTAAGACATCTCTGTAGATGTTTTTGGTAACACTTTACTTAAGGGGGCATAAATAATGTCATATTATGCTATTACTTATGTATTAATTAAAGACAAACCAAGTCTTAGTTACATACTGATCTCATGTTTGTTAATCATTAACGAATCATGATGCATCTTTTATCCCAAGCAGTTACTATTTTTGTTACTATATCTGTTAATTCTGTAAACGTTGATAAACTACGGATGTAACTACCATAGGAACTACTGAAGGAACAAGTAATGAATAACACAATGAAATACTGACATCATGTTTGTTCATCATTAACTAATGAAGATGCATCTTTTATCTTAGGTAGCTACTATATTTGTTCATGATTTGTACTTCAGTAGTTACTGAGTTACTACTAAGTATTTGTGCCCCCGCAAGTAAGGTGTTATAGTTTTTTCTGTTTTTACTTTATATGAATTTCATGAAACATTTTCTTAACAAAAACTGATTATTTGCTGTAAATGAATGAATTGCATTTCTTTGTAGTCAATTTCCTGTAATCTGATCTTAGACGATTAGCTAATTTTCATTAAATATCACTCAGCTTTACTGAAAATTCACACCATTTATAATACTTAAATGCAAACCCAGGATAGAGGGGCTTAGTGAACGTGGTCTGGACCATGTACAGGAGGGTCATTTTGCCAGATGTTGCATCAGAGACACTGTAGAAGGACAGAGTTCCTGCCTTGTGATCCAGGTACACCCCTATCCTGGAGGAACGGGGGCCAGATACTGCAGTGTACTTATTATTGTGCCAGAATGAGTAACTATCGGGATCGCAGTTCAAACACCAGGACTTGTCATTGTTCCCGAGTGCGCTGTCATCACCCCGTCCTTTCCTGGTGATCCCCTTATATGTGACGCCTATACCGACCCCATCCCCGTTCCACTCAACCTCCCAGTAGCAGCGCCCAGTCAGACCCTCTGTACACAGCACTTGGTCATGCCAATCAAACCTCTCCTGGTGATCAGGATATGACTGTGTCTCTCTCTTCCATGTCACCACTCTGTTCCCCTCAGACAGATGGAGGTGTCTGTTTGCTGTGTTGGGGTCCAGAGTGACCCGACAGGAATCTGATGGAGGAGAACATCAGAAGGTGATGTTTTGGTCTTTGCTCCTTTGCACCATTTGGTGATATTTGATATGATTTTTACACAGCTTAGTTTGCATGTGCTCTTTCTTTTTATGATGTTTCTCTTTTGTATGGTGTCATAAATCTCCAAGTTCTCGGCCATTAGAAAGTTGGTTTTTCCAGCTGATGCTGGCCATATCTTTTTTATTTTAAAACTTTCTCTCGGGGATCAATAAAGTTAATTTTATTACTGAATCTATTTATTGCAACAGTTATGTAGATATAATACTGTTCTGAAAACAGAATGGTAGTGTTTTATCAGTCCTTGTCTGGAAATTTTCTTATCAATTTCAAGCCTTACTTTGCTGAGCCACACACTGCCCCAAATTATATTTATTCAATTACTTTTCATATTGTTCTGTTCACCCTAATAATACCCGAGAGAACAAGTGAAGGAGAATAATGAGACACATCAGGTGTAGCTATGCAAAGGGATTGAAATGGAAATTATCTGTGCAGCTAATGTAAATGTGAAAGGTCAGGGGGCAGCGGGAGAGAGTAAGAGAAACACAATAAAACACACTCCACCTCATACAGGGAGAGAGAAGTGTGTGTGTGTGTGTGTGTGTGTGTGTGAACAGACTCACATTGTAAGAATTTTGCTCTGGTCCTGGGCACTAATACTGGTAGGATGGTGTCTTTAGTAACTAAAAAGAGACAGAGAGAGACAGGGATGTGAGTAAATGGGATTCACTTGTGAGAGACAATAGCACTAGGGTATTATTATTATTATTGTTGTTGTTGTTGTTGTTGATATTATTAATTTAACAGGCATTTTAACAAACTGCTTATTATTCTAAGTTTAACATTAAACAAGGTTTGTGGATTGTATTATTTAAAAGAAATAGGATTTTATGAACCAGATTTGTAGTTTAATTTTGAGCTCATTCAATGTCTTTCACCAAGATTTAGAACAGGATTTAAAACAGAATTTAATTTAATCACACAAATACAAGACTGACTGTAATACATACTCTCTCCTAATTGTCTATATTAATATTAATAAACATTTTTGCCATATTGAAAAACTGAATTTCTCTTGTTCAGATAAAAGTGGAAGTGATTCTGTTACATACTTTCAATGCAAAGCCCATATTATTATGAATGAATGTTTAAAATGTGTTTCATTATTAACCTGCATCCTTGATCTCTGCTGTTGTTGTTCTGCAAACATTCTCCAGTTGGTCCTTCAGATCAGAAACCACCTTCCTCACATTCCCAAAAATAAAGCATGAATTGACTGAGATTTTGGGTCCAAATCCAACTTCAGGGAGGACGGGAAGACACAGGAACCTCTACAGACACATTAAATGGCTTCATCAAAACAAATGTGCACTATAACTCAATTAAAAGGAACATTTTCTGGCTGGCAAATGAAAAAGAACTTGAATATATGCAAATGAACATACTGTAGACATCCATTTGAATACTCTGGTTCTCATATTGTTAAAGTAGGTGTTCTGTTACCTGGAGGAAATGGATGTGATCCTCTGTGTGTGAAAGCTGCTCCAGCTCAGAGTGTCTCCTCTTCAGTTCATCAATCTCCTGCTCCAGTCTCTCCATGTGTCCTTCAGTCTGACTCACTGCAGCCTTCTCCTGATCTCTGATCAGCTTTGTCACCTCAGAGCGTCTTCTCTCAATGGAGCGGATCATCTCGGTGAAGATCCTCTCGCTGTCCTCCACTGCCGTCTGTGCAGAGCTCTGTCAGAGGCACATACAAAGGACAGATGTATCTTCAGCTCTCACTGGGAGCCAAGATCAGACTCAGAGGCAGACATTTCAGGTCCAGAAAGTAAAAATCCAAACCAGGATTTTGTTTCAACCAACCAGTTGAGTACCCTGTGACTGTGACTCTTTATATTCAACTGATTGGTTGAAAAAAAATCCTGGTTTGGATTTTTACTTTCTGTACCTGAAATGTCCACCTCCGATCAGACTGGATGGTGACCAAACACTAAGATCCTCTTTGGCTGAGTGAGGGATGGTTCAGGCTGAGCCCTGAAATGTCTCCTCCAGCGGGCAGCTGTTATCTTCTCCTCTGCCTCTTACTCACTGTGATGGATCCCACAGCCTCTCTCAGCTCCTGTAGCTCCTCCTCTCTCATCTGGATTATCTGCTGAATTTCCTTCTGTGTTTCATCCACTTGCGTCTACAGATGGAAATAAAGATGAAAAATGCTTTTCTTTAAAATTTTTGTGCATCTTTTTTTCAGACCCCCAAAAGGATATGGAGGGGTGGTGGTAGGGGGGAAAATCAATGGTTGGGAAAAAAAAAGAAATAAGAATTTGACCCCCATAGTTTAATGCTTAAAGTATGTTTACTGAATATGTCCGTCATTCAGGATTATATTTATTAGACCTATTTCATTTGTACTTTAAATGAACACAGTGTAGCTATTAATAGTAAAGGAAAAGTATCGTGAGATCTCGCAAAATTCCATGTTTTTCTAACCATTAGTATTTATTTTTTTTTGCTCTTCTTTCACTTGATCTAAACAGGATTCATTTCTGTCTTTTAAACATTTTTTTAACCTTTCCTTTATTGCACAAGTACAGGTTAACACTTTAAAAGGGTACATCAATTTTTGAATACTTTACGTTTAACATAACTAACACTGCTTTGTATGTGGGGTAGCCGCTATCAGGTATATAACAGCACCTTTACTTGAAGGAAGTGATCGCATCATGCCAAAATAAGACAAAAAAAAGGCCCCCAAACTGAGAAAAACTTGTTTGACCCTCTTACTGTGTGTGATATATACATATTAGATACTGTTGGAGTACGCCGTCTCCACCGGTCCGTGGATGAGAAGAGATTCACCGCTGACACGAGGAGAAGTTGCAAATCACCGGTTTATTCTCTTGACTGATTATAATCCGGGAGCGGCCGTCTGACGTACATTCAGCATGTACAGGAGGAGGCTCTGCCATATGTATCAGCTGTATCCCTTTTAAAGCCCTTTGGGCATCCCTCCCCCTCTCGGTACCTTCCGTCTACGTGACAACCACATGTTTGACATTTACTCTAGTTAGTCGGTTAGTACTTGTCCTTCTGGAAGTGGAAGGCTACAGATACGTAAGGGCCGCTGACATTTTTCTGTCGCTCCCTCTATCGGAACCCGATTAGGTATCCTTGCCCTGCCGGCACCAGTCAGTTCTCGTTTCAGTTAACTGCATTTTTTAGATTGACCCCCCCCCCCCTTCATCATGCCCTGCTTTAAGCTATATTCTCCTTTTCCTCTATTCATTGTATGTTCTTTATAATTCTGTTGAATCCCACAATACATAATAGAGGTTCTTGTCTCACCTGTATCTCCTCCCTTTGTACAGCAGCTGAGATTGTATCATGGCCTCTGTGTTCATACGTCATACAGAGATTACAGATACACTGCTGGTCGGTACGGCAGTAGACCTCCAGGGGTTTGTCATGGTGGGAACAGAGCTTGTCCTGCAGATGTCCAGTGGCATCAGTCAGCTTGTGCTTCTTAAAAGCTGGAGACTCATGGAGAGGCTAGAGGTGAGTTTCACAGTAAGAGGCCAGACACACCAGGCAGGAATTTACAGCTTTGCG